TGCTTTGAACAGAAAGTAAAGCATGAAATAAAACAGCCTAGGGTTTGAAGTGAGGTTTTGGGGTGGGCTCTAATTCTCCATAGTCTCCCGGTTTAGGTTCTAAAAAAACGGTACCCGAGTTCTCCTTGCTGGTGCCCCTTTGGGCTTGCCAGACCTTTAGTCCTAAACCCATCACAGGTTTGTGTGGACTAAGTTAAACTCGAGAGGACACATTCCCTTATGTCTATGCGGAGAATAAATTCACACGAAGACATAAGGTATATGAATCCCGAAGGCTACTTGCTAGGCTTATGCGGTGAATAAATTCACACGAATGCGTCGCTTTCACCCCCACTTAAAACGGGTTCGGAGCTCGGGTTTAGAGCCTTAGATGAAAAAAGACTTTAAGGGCTGAAATCATTGAGAAAATGGTTAGTACAACTAATTACTCGAAAATATAATCAAAAGTAAGTAATAAGGATCGAAATGTTACCTTAAAATTTAAACTTACCATTTCCATTAAAAAGACAACTGGAAATTACCTTAGCTTGACTCACTTACCTGTGTCCCCAGCGGAGTCGCCAAGCTGTCGTAACCGTCTTTCGGTTGGGCCACGGAATTGGGCTTCGACTTGAAAAATGTGATTGGAGTCGCCACCGATTATTTATTTAAAAAAATAGGTTAATCGGATACCTTATATCTTACCTGATCTGCGTCTTACCAAAGATATGTCGGATTCGGGAGTCGGTTACGGTCAAGGAAGGATTAGCACCCTTGAACCGCCCTTTCGGTACTACGTAATTTCCAGTTGTTTTTAATTAAGAAAATCGAAAGTTAAAATTTAAAGGTAACATATGATCCAAAATTACTTACCTCCGATCAATTTGAAAGAGTACCCTTAAAAAGTCGAGAAACGCGTTAAAGGAAAAAGGAAATAAGAGTAAATGAAATAAAGAAAATAGAAGGGAAAAAATAAAAAAAAATGATGAAAAACTAAAAGAGGAATAAAAATATATAATTATTGAGTGCAAAATAATAATAATGATAATAAGTAGTAAAATAAAAAAAAACGCAATCACACCAAAAGAAAGTAAAAAAAGAAAGTCAAGGTTTGGTGAAGTATAACTGTCGGGAAGGAAAAAGACGATAAGGGGTAGGACCGTAGTTAATAAATGAGTGTGATGTATCCCTTTTATTGCTCCTGAATTGTTTACAATAGCTTCAAAACAATCTATTTGCTCGTATTTTTTTCTGGTAATTTCGTATGCCCATCGTGTGTTACAATAGTGAGCTACAATGGCTATTTATAGTTCTTGTGGATCCTATCTTTAGGAGTTTAAAACATAGCAAAATTCTATCCTATTTTAGGAGTTGAATCCTAGCAGAATTCTATCCTATTTTTGAGAGTTTGAATCCTAGTAGGACGAAAAAGGTGTGTTGACAATTTGGCTAGCTTTTCCTTTCATTTTTGGTTGGATTTGAATAATTGAGTAATATAGAGGTTTGAGGAAAGGTTAAATAAGATTAAAACTAAGAGATGGATGAAATATTTGAGATTTAGGAAAATGGGTTTTTGAATGATATGTTAAGATATAATCTTTATTGATGAATATTGATATATTTGACTTGTCAAATAAGTAAATAAGAGATTAGAAGAATTGGATGGGTTTAAAAACATGTTAGAAAAAGTGGTATGATTATTGGATTGAAGTGTTCTTTAGAGATGGTAGATATTATAAGAAGCTAGCTGAGGAAAAGTTAGTTGGGATAAGTAAAAAAGAGTTTGATAGTGTTGTTGGAGGTAAAAATAAGGTAAATTGGCCAAATTTGGGGCAAATCGGGCTGAAAATTGAAAATCTAGGAAATGGTATCGGTACTAGAAGAACAGTACTAATACAATAGGCTTAAGTTGGAAGAAATCAGCTGAACAGTATCGATACTGAAGCAATTAGCATCGATACTATGAGGAAGGTATCGATACCATTGATTTACATAATGCAAAAATGGTATCAATATCATAATAGAGTATCGATACTAAGAGACAAATATCGATACCATGGATCCAGAATGTTGAAATGGTATCGATACTAAAAGGGAGTATCGGTACCATAATATAGAAATATCGATACCAATGTAGGGGTACCAATACTATAAAGCCAAAAATTTTAAGATAGGATGAGATTGTTATAGAAAATTTAATAATAGTATTTCTGAGTATTGTTTAAGTATAAATTTTAGAGAACATACTAATAGTTGATATGGTATGCGTCTTTGATAGGTGCTTGAGTAGATCGAAATCAAGCTCCCGAGTCAAGCAAAACGAATGGAAAAGGTAAAGTAGCTGACTAGTCAGATTTGCGTTTTGGATATAATAGCAAGGCAAGCCAGGTGAGTGCATTTATTATATACATATATGTTATGATAGTCATAGATGCATGTTGCTTGATGTATGTATGGTGATTACCGAATGGCACTATGAGTGCAAACTAAGAAATTCAAAATAATTTATGAATTTTCATATTGGCATTGTGTGTGCAAACTAAGAAATTCATAATAAGTTTATGAATTTCCGTATTGGCACTGTGTGTGCAAAATTGCATTCATAATAAGTTTATGAATTTTCGTAATGGCATTGTGTGTGTAAACTAAGAAATTAATAATAAGTTTATGAATTTCCGTATTGGCACTGTGTGTGCAAACTAATAAATTCATAATAAGTTTATGAATTTTTGTATTGGCACTGTGTGTGCAATGTAACAAAATCATAATAAGTTTATGAATTTATGTATTGGCATTATGTATGCAGACTAAGAAATTCATAATAGTTTATGAATTTACGTATTGGCACTGTGTGTGCAAGTTAAGAAATTTATAATAAGTTTATGAATTTCCGTATTGACACGTGTGTGCAAACTAAGAAAATCATAATAAGTTTATGAATTTCCGTATTGGTACTGTGTGTAAAAACTAAGAAATTCATAATAAGTTTATGAATTTTCGTATTGGCAATGGTTGTGCAACCCACATAAATTGTAGTAAGTTTGGGGAATTATTGTATTGGCACTACAGGTGTAAATTATAGAGTGTATAATGGATTAAAAGAGTTAATGGATATTGGAATTCTCACAATATACTTGTGTTTAGAATTTTTCTTATGATTATATATTCCTCACTAAGAAATTTCTTAGCGTGTGTAAAATTTAACGCGTAGGTTTTAATACAAGCGGAGTAAGGAGATCATCTTACATACCAAATCAAGGGCCTCCTCATCAGTAACTGTACGACATCCAGGTCTACTATTGATGTATTTTGTTTGGCATGTAATAGAGTTTGTAAAAGCGCTCTGAAAGTATTTGATTTTCATGATGTAAAAAAGATGAAATGTTTGAACATTACTTTTTGTTTACCTATGTAAGTTTAATGAATGTTTTACTATCACTAAATTAAAATGTTTTATAAAAAGAAACAAAATTTTACAGATATTTAAATACGGAAATGCTTTTAAAATGATGTGACATATGTATCTCTTGTACGACAGGTATACGGGAGATGGGTGTTAAATAAACTCTACTTTTTAGTGTTTTTAATAATTATATAAAGGGGACGATTTCAACTAATCAAGGGAGAGATTTTTTGGGTTTTGTTTTGTTCTTTTCTTTTCTCCACCATTAGCCATGGCCTCTTAGCCAAGTTTGGGGAGGAGCAATAGCTAAACATAAAGGCAAAAGTCACAACACTGAGAGGTGGTAATTGGTGATCGACGAGCGCATTAATGACGAAAATCATAAAATAATTTTGAGTGGGAGTTTTATTTTTGTGTAGTTTAAATACTCTTTAATTCTTTTGGGATTTGTTACACTTTTGATGATTATGGTTTTAAATATATTTTATGAATTTCATGTTTATAAAATTTTGTCCATTTATTTTATTAGTGTTTACTCGATTTTATTAAGGCTTTTAATATAAAGATATATAATTGCCCAGTATATTGCATCGAAACGTGAGGGGCATTGTCAGAGCATCAGTGATTGTGAGAGCAATGTTTTAGTGTAGAGAGATATTACTGACTGATTATTATATCGTACTTAGTAAATTTTCTTAAATGGGTATAGAGATATAGAATTGTTATGAGTTTGACAAAACCCTAATCTTTATCTTGAACCGATCCATTTTTTTCATTGCCACTGCTTTAATTCCCTTTACCCCTTCATATCTTTATTCGTATATTTATTTTTGCTATTATATTTTTATTGCTTTGTTCCCATCATCACATACACAATTCTATTATTTTATTTACTTAGTGATATAGTAATTCTTTGAGTAATACTAGCCTCTATAGATACGGTATTCAATCGATTGATCTGCATCCAATTTATCACTTGATACTATAATGTATGCTTACATTGATTGTTGTTATGTTATTCGAAGCATCCAATTTTTGGCGGCATTGTTGGGAACTAGTATCATTTTTTAATTATTTTTACTAACATAGTTTTTATCATTTTGTAGGTAGAATTAAATAGTTTTTTTTGGTGCATAAATCAAAGCAATAATCGATAGAAGATATTAACAAATAAAGTACATAATGTTGGAATAATTTCAACTTTCCAAAATATTTTGACGCTGCTAGTTTATCACAACATCGATTATAAGAATAGGCCAATATGTCAGCATGTTGTACCCACATTAGATTATTTGAATCCTGGCATTATTCAACCGACCATACATGCTTCCAATTTTGAGTTAAAGCTGGTGATGTTCCAAATACTACAATCAATGGGGCAATAAAGTGGGAGGCATACCGAGGACCCTCGACCACACTTGAGAGCATTTATGGAAGTTTGTGATTCATTCGAACAACAACGAGTGCCCGATGAGACCTTGAAGCTAAAGTATTCCCGTACTCACTTCGCGACAAAGCTAAGGCATGGCTTAATTTGCTACCACCCATTGTTGTAGCATTATGGAATGAACTTGCCTAAAAGTTCTCCCTATGATTCAAGCCTCCCAACATGAATGCAAGGATGAGAAATGGCATCAAATCTTTGAAGAAAAGGGAAGATAAAACCTCTTATGAAGCTTATGAGCAATTTAAAGATTTACTACGTAAATGCCCGATGCATGGTTTCCAAATTTGGACACAAATAGAGATATTCTAAAATGGACTTGAAATGTAAACAAGGGTAGTTGTAGATGCTTTTATAAATGGAGCATTTCTATAAAAGTCCTACAACGAAACTTATGATATCTTGGAGACGATTTCCAGCAATGACTACCAATACCCCAATAAAAGAATTATTTAGGGTAGATGTGTTGTTGTAGTAGTGGACAACGATGCCATGAACACATTGATCACACGAGTGACAAAATTGACTGAAATGATGAAGAAACTGAAAATGTAAGAGGTATGTATAAGGTAAAAGCTACATCTTTTGTTAATTGCGTTGATAACCATAATTTTGAGGAATTTCCCCAATACCCACTACAATAAATTTCTACTATTGTGACAAATTTAATTTTTCCAAAATTAATTTTGTCACTAAAAGTAGCTTTTGGTGACAAAATAAATAATCGTCGCATTAGATTAATAAAAGATAAACAATTATGACAAAAGCTAAAATCATCATAATAATTTGTCACAATTAGCAAATATGTGTAACATATAGTGACACAATAAATTTTATTACGAATTTATGTAACAAATGTTTCCCTCCAAATTTTTTATGCCAAATTAAAGGCATATAATGAAAAATTTTGTAACTAAAAGTTTTAGTAACTATGACATAAAAATTGTCACAACAAATAATGAGATTTAGATTTGACGTGAAAAATTTTGTTTGTGATTATATATTTTAATTAGTGACAAAATTTATTTTTCTCAGTTTTTATCACCTTCACCGTTCACCCTAAAGTAAAACATGGTCGTTGCTGCTTAAATCAGCAAAAAGCGAAAGGTATCCTCTTCAACCTTCTCTATTCTTTTCATTTCTTGCATTTTCCTCCAACTGGATTTTATTTATTTATTTATTCTTTATGTCATTTGTTTTCACTTCGTCGCTGATGGAGTCTTCTTCGCGGAGCATAACGAGGTGTTGACAAGGTAACTTAACGAGGATGGATACTCTGGAGTCGAAGTTAGAGTTACTCCCATGCGCACTGAGATCATAATCAGAGCCACCCACACCCAAAATGTTATCGGTATTTTTCAAAAATTTTACTTTCTGGTGGTGGAATTTTCCTTTTCAATAAGGGTTTTAATTTATGATTGATTTGGGGTTTTATATGTGAGAAAGGGAAAAGAATCAGGGAGATGGTCTCTGTGGTTCAAAAGCGATTCAATTTCCCTAAAAACAACGTCGAGCTTTACACCGAGAAGGTCAATAACCGAGGCCTTTGCGCCATTGCTCAGGCTGAATCACTTTGTTATAATCTCCACGTAGGTCTTGCTATCCGCAGGAATATGCTCAATATTGATTCTTCTTTTAAAGATTTCATGTGTGTTTATGCAGTACCCCTTTTTTATATTTTTAATGTATAAAATGAATTTTAATAATTAGGATTTCTTATATAATGTCATCTACAAAGAAGATTGGCCTCTTAATACTAATTTTTTGTGTCGGAAGGCGACTGAAGTAATTAGAAGATATTTCATCTGTTTATTTCATGCCTGCTGAAATGCATTTCTTTTCAATGCAATAACCTTCGTAGAGGGAACAATATTAAATCTTTCTTATTTTTAATTTTCCTTTTTGTTATGGATTTTATTTTGTATGTGTGCATGATATGTTTAAAAGAATTTTTGCAGTAACCTTAGTAGAGGGAACAATATTAGAATTTTCTTATTTTAGTCAATGGTCTGATCTTGTTTTGTTTATTAAATGTTTCATCCTTTAGATTTATTTACTTATATTTGCAGGAAAAATGAGAACAATCTTCGTTGAAGAAACTGAAAAAGGCATTGAAGTGAACGGAGGTCAAATTTTAGAAAAAGTTTTAAATTCAAAATATGGTTACATTGGTGGACTTGGTTATGGAGTAAAGCCAAGTAGTTCCAAACTAATATTCTTTCACAATAACAAATATTAATTTCTCATCATAAAAAATTGTGACAAGTAATATATTTTCACAATAACAAATTGTAGCAAAATGATTTAGTCACAATAACACGTTAAATTTAGTCAAAGTAAAAAGTTATGTAAATTTTTTTTTGGTCTAATATTTTGTCAAAATAAAAAATTGTGACAAATTTATTTAATCAAAATAATAATTTATAACAAATATTAATTTCTCATTATAAAAAATTGTAAAAAAAAAATATTCTCTCACAATAATAAATTCTAACAAAATTATTTAGTTACAATAAAAAGTTATAAAAATATTTAGTGACGAAATTAAAGTAGTGAGAAATTAAATTTTGTTGCAATATGTATTTTTGTCACGAAAACATTTTTTGTTTGATGTTATAATTTAATTTAATTGTGATGAAATTTACTTTTTGTGATAAAATAATTATTTTATTTTAATAAATATTTTATCTTTGTAAGTTATATTTAGTGACGAAATAGCAACTGCGACAAAATAATTTTTGTTACCTTATGTATTTTCATCACAAAAACTCTTTATATTTGATGTTTAAATATAAGCTAGTTATGACAAAATGTACTTCTCGTGACGAAATAATTAATTGATTGTGACAAATATTTTATTGCGATAAGTTAATTATAGTAATGAAATTTCATTGTTACAATAAATACTATACAATAGTAACGACCACAATTTTGTCATAATATACTTTACATGACAAGGTTGTTCTAACATACATGGTAACAAATAAAATTGGTCAAAATAAGTATATCGTGACAAATTTAGTATCTTTAGTGATAAATAATTTTGTTCAAACAATCTAAATTTCTTGTGGTGACCCCAAGTCTGTGTATTTTGTGAGTAATTATAACATGAATAACAATGCTAACATATATGGGAACACATACAATATGAATTTATAGAATCCTAACCCCAATGTAGCATTGAAATCCACTTTCAGGAATACACAACACTATAAGTAGCAACAATTTACTCAACAACAACCAATATTGCATTATCAACAGTCACATCATCAGGCAATGCCACAGTAATAACACAATAATAAAAAAATAAAGGGCAGATTACTAACCTTGCTTCATCATCAACATCACTTGAGTCTCTACTGAATGAGTACATCTTGAGAAATGAAGTTGTGATCCAAAACAAGTCAACATCATTGAGAGCATTGAAGAATCAAGTTGGAGAATTGGCCAATGCGTTGAGTAGCAGACCACAAAGTTTCTAAGGTGAATGAAAATGTTCATTGCAAGATTATCACAATGAGTAGTTGACTCCAAATTGGAAACCATGATGAGAACAAAAAATGGATGAGAGGCCTATACAACAATCAAAAGGCAATGATCCATAGAAGGTGATTGAATCACCTAGCATTAAAATCACAACAAATGACTTAGGGTAGAGTAGTAATTCTAGGACATTGCCACCAAAAATGCTGAAAAAACTTATGCCCCCAAAGATTCTAGAAAAGAAAGAAGAATCAATAATTTTGAAACTTCATTGATGTGTTGAGGCAATTGCACGTTAACATACCATTGTTACAAGCATTAGAGTATACACCAAACTACGTTAAATTTTTGAAGGAAGTGTTTTCCAAGAAATGTAGGATTGGTTATTTTGAGATAGTTTCATTCATTGAAGGGTGTAACATTATTTTGACAAGTAGATTGCATCCAAAACTAAAGGATCAAGGGAGTTTTACTATTCATTACACTATTGGAAACCAATACATAGGTAGAGCTTTGAGTGACTTAGTTTCTAGCATTACCTTAATGCACTTTCTATTTTTAGGAAACTTAGGATTAGTAAAGCACAACACACAACAGTTGCACTTTAACTTGATGACCTGTCTATTGTCCATCCTGAAGGTAAGGTTTACATTATGCTAATACGAGTGAATAAATTTATCTATCCATTTGAATTCATTGTCTTAGAATCTAAAGACAACAAAAAAGGTGCCTATAATACTAGAAAGACCATTCCTTGCTATTGGACGAACATTGATTGATGTTTGAAAGGGAGAACTCACATTACTTCTCAATGACCAACAAATTACATGTAATGTGTTCAACCCTCTACAATATGATGAAGAAGATGAATGCCATGTTGTTAACATTGTTGAAGCAATCATAAAAGAGCAATAAGATGAATTTCAGAGCATTGAAGAACTCTTTACTATTGTTGTGAGAACGAAAGAATCAGACGAGCCAAACCATGAAGAGACTATGTTAATCAAGGGGAGCCAATGCTTCTACATTAATCCTAGCATTAACAATAGTTATGTACCGCTAATGCCGACTACAAAGTCATAGTATGAATACCTGAGCAAAGCTGGAAATGCTACCATGTTGCAGAATGTCACAGCAACAGTGAAGACAATGAGGAACGATTCACAAGGCTTTGAAGATGAAGGGTCTCATTTGAAAATTCACCCCGTGAATCCACAACATTGTTATGGTCATAATAAAGATGTGTCCTTCATGACTTATTCCCTCAAGAAATAGTTTTTCTTTGAACAATATTTTGATCCCATATGCGTAAATGATTTGAAGTAGTATGATTATGTCACAACAACCATCGACAATAAAAAAAAGGGATATCATTTTACTAAGACATAAGATAAGTTACCACAAACTTCAGTTTCACTATATGAAATATGTTTTTTTGCATGCTTTCAATTAGTCATTTTATGCCATTACATTAGATTTAGTTTTTATTTATTAGTTCTATTTAATGTTTTTATCTCGAGTTTTTTCGTTCAGGTAATTCCTCCATAATGATCACTGCATCATCCTTAGTTCGTACTGTTATTGCTACCTTTATTTCACAACATTAGTTGGAGTTCCAAATAACCATTATGGCATATCATTATGGGAGTATTGGTTTCCTTTCTCTAATGTTTTATTTTCTATTTTTTTATATGCATTGAGGGAGATGAACCTCCCAAGTTTGGGGTGTGTTGCTAAAATTTTTATGTTGCATTTTCATTTTTCATGTTCATATTGTCGTTACATTAGGATTAGGATG